ATGAAATACAAAGCCGGACAGTGGCTCTTCATCCAAGTTCCCGAGGTTTCTAACACTCAGTGGCACCCCTTCACCATCACCTCCTGTCCCTTCGATCCGTATATCAGTATCCACGTCCGCCAAGTAGGCGACTTCACGCGAGCGCTCGGTGACGCTCTCGGATGTGGCCCCGCACAGGCCAGAGATATGGAAGGCTTAGACCCGCTGGGAATGTACGAAGTCGCCCTCCAGAACGGCCAGAAAATGCCCAAGCTCCACATCGACGGACCCTACGGCGCCCCCGCCGAGGATGTCTTCGAGAACGAAATTGCCGTCCTCATCGGCACCGGCATCGGCGTGACCCCCTGGGCCTCCATCCTCAAGAACATCTGGCACCTCCGCTCAGGCCCGAACCCGCCTCGCCGTCTCCGCCGGGTCGAGTTCATCTGGGTCTGCAAGGACACCTCCTCCTTCGAATGGTTTCAGGCCCTCCTGTCCTCGCTCGAGTCCCAATCCGCCAGCGCCGCCGCCAGCCAGGGCAGCGCCGAGTTCCTGCGCATCCACACCTACCTCACGCAGCGGCTCGACGAGGACACTGCCGCCAACATCTACCTCAACTCCGTCGGCCAGGAGCTCGACCCGCTCACCGAGCTCCGCAGTCGCACCAACTTTGGCCGGCCCGACTTTAACCGGCTCTTCACGGCGATGCGTGACGGGCTGCATGACCAGTCGTACTTGCCCGGCTTTCATGCGGCCATGACGACAGAGATCGGAGTGTACTTTTGCGGCCCGAATGCGGCAGCCCGGCAGATCCGTGAGGCGGCCAAGACGGCGTCCACCAGGGACGTCAGGTTCAAGTTCTGGAAGGAACATTTCTAGTCTCTAGGCGTTAGGTTGCTGACTTGCTGCCGCTGAATAGAGAACCATCAGCTGCAGGGGTGGGGGATATCAAAACAGAGTATCATGAATGAGTTTAATGTGTTATGAGTTATGAATCTCTTTATTGGTTTTGGTCGGGTTATACAAGGCATTGGGGCCTGCATGTATCATAGTACAGAATCTAACCGTATATCCATCGTCAATTGATTGCTTCTCATACACCACTGCTACCTTACGAATATGCATACTGAGAAAGGATCAGGAAGCGCCGTTGCTCATCTATGATTGCATACGCTCATCCTCACTCTCCGCATCGTCGGGCATCTGGATCGGCCCCAAAGACATAGCAGCATCCTCGAGCCTCCTCGCCGCAAGTCGATCCAACTCCTCCTCGATATCGACATGGATCCGCGACTCCTTCTCCACAAGAACGTTATACACGCGGCGAAGCTCGTCGAAGCCCATCCCCTCCCCTTTCCTCGGGGAATCTTTGTATCGGTCCCGGACGACGTCCGCGCGCAGGTGCGTAAACGCTAGCATAACGAGTTCCTTGGACCAGGGACAGGCGCGAATAGCGCGGTAGAAGACTTCTTTGGCGCGGTTGATCTCGCGCCGGGAGAGTTCGAAGAGGATGTACAGTTTCCAGAGGGTGAGGCTCGAGCGGGCGGTTGATGAGGTGCTGCTGGCGCCGTTCGTGAGTGCGCCTATGCCTGCGTGTTGGAGGTGAGCGGGGTCGCCGATGGCTTTTTCGAAGGCTGCGCGGACGGAGTGTAGGGTCGAGCCTGCGTAGACGGGGCGGACGAGTTCGGTGTAGATTGAGAAGAGGTGCGAGGTTATGGGGATTTGTTGGGTGGTTGTGCGGTCGTGGCTGGTGCGCTGTTTGGTCTCTGAGGTGACGTCGCGGACGACTTCGCGGACGCGTTCTTCGATGCGGAACCGGGATTCGTTCCAGGCGAAGAGGGATAGAAATATGGTGTTGTGGGGGAAGAGTGAGATGCTTTCGGTTAGGAGGGAGCGAATCTGAGATGGTTTGTATAGGCTGCTGGTGCGGACATGATAGTAAATCAGTTTCGCCCGGGCTTGGTGTAGCAGCTCGGTTGTGAAGGTCCGGAAACTGTGGAATCGCTCCGGTAGCGTGCTGAGACTGGCCATTGCACGGTTATATGCCTCCAAGGCTTTGGTCATATCGAAGGATTGGGACAGGTATGCAAGAAGAGCCAGACAATCCGTGCAAGCAACAAATATCCTGGCTTTTCTGGTGATCAGGGCGCTTTCTTGGGCTTCTGAAAGAGACTGAAAGGCGTCAGCGTGTGGTCCAATAAAACAGTGGGGTAGAACTCACATTCTGTGCTTTCAGCAGACTTGTCGCGCCAAATATGGTTTCGCTAAAAGCGCCCGGGGCAGCCTTGAGGTCAACACTGTTCTGCGGTATTGAAAGCAGTAGGTGGGAGGCTTGGGCTATATTTCGAGCATTAAGCGATTCCCAGGTCCAGCTCTGCCACAACAGGGCAGAGTCGACCCTGTCATGATCGGAAAATGTCTTGCTCATGGAGAGCGTGGTTGCCCAGACATGTTCGGCAGCCGTGAGATTGCCAGAGCGACATTCTATCAGAGCGTAAGAGTTGTAAAGGCGCAGATTCGAGCTTCTCTTCTTTAGAAGTGACTTGGCGTACTTCCTGGCTTCTTTGCTATTGCACGCCAATTCCACGGCAAGTGCATACTCAGCCAAGTCATCGTTCCGCGGATTTGCTTCTACTAACAACCTGAGGGTCCTCCGAGCCCATTCGCGGTTGATATCGGATCGTGAGTGCATCGTACTCTTCGTCCACGACCGTAGGGACGAAAACCAGGCGACTTGGTCTGCAAACAACGTATCCGTGGTCTGGATGAAATTTGTATGAGGAAAAGACAATGGGGAGATAGCAGATGGCTCTGTACCGTCGGTCTGATTCTGAAGGAAACCATCCATTGTGAGCTCCGGGTTGCTCATCAACTCATTTCGCAGGAAATTGTCTCCAGCCCAACGACTGGTCGATTCCAGGTTCTCGGGTGACTTGAGTGGAGGCAATTGGCAGTAATACATGAAGCTATCGATCAACACGTCGGCCGAGTCCGCGTCCCAAACAAGAGGTAAAATCTCTTGGAGATCAGATGCGATTACTATACGGTAGGGATCATCTCCGTCGTTCTCATCCAGACTTCGCGCGGGCAATTGAGCATTTGATATCCGTTCTCTTTCGCAGATGGTCCAGGATGCAAAAATTGATCGCAGGTTGACCTTGAACTGAGGTGCGAAGGCCTTGGGTTCCATGAAAGCATTTTCTCCCGATCTCCAACCCTTTGCGCCCAACTCTCCGATTCGAGCAACTTCTGATTCCCAAAAGCCAAGGAATGCTGAGAGTGTTTCTTGGTCCTTTCCGATACTTAAATCCTCTGGACGAAAGAACACTGTTTCAAGAATGGCCTGCCAAAGACCCGCCGCATGCTCGGTGAAACCAGCTTCCCTGATAAAACAAGTCAATCGCAAAAACAAGTAGATCCGCACATGACCTTTTCCCGGCCCTCCAGGGCCAAGCCTATTCAGTTTCAAGCATTCAAGGTAGGTGTTGAAGCACCTTTCATAGGTGAAATCGAGAAATTCCGTCTGACGAAAATCAAGGTATTTGATCCAAAGGCTAATGAACTGTGAATTCGCTTTCAGCACTGCCTGCCATTGAAACGAGAGCTTCTTCGTGTCCCACAGCTTTGCACCTTCTTCTAATAAACCCAGCAGAAGGACTTCTTTGAACGGCCTGTCCCCGACCTTTTTCAGCGCTTTCTCGTACAACGACAGTTTGATGTCGGCCAAGCTCTTTCGTTCCGCGGCGGTCAAGGCGCGAGATTCCCTTTCTGAGCCTCTAAGGAGCAATTCCTGATGTTCTATGAGGCGGAGCCATGCATCAATATCTGTCGGTTTTCGTTCAACGTCCCTCAAGAGTTCTGCGTTGCGAGACTTGATTTCCTCATCGGGATCCACTCGAAGGCCGCCGTCACTGGAGTCCGTGTCCGACACGGCCTCCAAGTCGCTCGGAATGTCATCTTCGGGTTTCGCTTTACCATGAATCGACCTGTAGGCATATCGCTCATCTTCCGTAGCGATATCTTCTGGCGTTCCTTTGCGCCTCCGGTTGGCTGAAGCATCGAGCGGAAGGAAATCTTTCGAGGCCTCGGCTGCGGCATCCGACAAAGGGTCTTTTCGCAGCCGGAGAAGCCTCGTGCGTTGCTTAGCCAGTCCAGCAAAGGCACTCTTTGACTTAATCCTCTTCGCGTCTGTACGCGAAATGCCCGTCTTCAAGATCAGCGCATCTCCTTCCGCCGTGTCACGGTCGATTCGGTAGCTCGTGGGAAGACCAAGCACGTTTCCTCGGCCGACTCGGTGATAAAGGGGAACATTGTAGCGATGTAATGTCCCGTAAATCAGGTTGTATTTGTCGCCTTTGCGATCGATAACATACAGATCAGACGCCTCGTCTTCTCCCTCTCTCACGACGGGTTCCGGTGCGCGCGCAGATTCGCGAGTAGGCTCCACAACTCGTTGTTCCGCATCTCTTCGGGTCGGACGATGCCCCTTCCGTTCTCTTCGACGCTCTCGAGACCGCGAACGATCCCGATGGCTTCTATGTCTCGAGTGGTGCTTGGACTTTTCGTCGCGATGGACGGCCTCGTGACTTCGGCGATCGGAGGGCCGATCAGCTTCGGGCGGAGGAGCTGGTGGAGGCTTGAAACTGGCAAACCGCGGGATGGACTTTTTCTCCTTCAGCGATCATTAGTATAGGCGCGAGATACAGTTTTAATTTCAAAAATAGTCTTACCTGGGAGCCCGAGGAATCCATGCTCCTGGACGTAAGACATCATCGGGAGACTCCAAGTGTTGCGCAGTTGGTGTTGGCTGGAAAAACTCCGCTCCCGCTTCCCGCAGCCTTTTTTTGGTTGGAGAAAAAAGACTCCCAAAAAAAAAAGTTGCTCCGACCATTAGTCGATCTTGACAGAAAGAAACTGCCCAAGGAAACAACAAGGTTTTCACTTGGAAAAGCGAAGGAGGAGCTCACTGAGCGATGGGTGTCTAATCTGATTTCTCGACAAAGCACAGAATTCTATCCACAATGGCTTCGTCCCTCGCCGCGCAGCTGTCGCAGATTGCGGCAAAGTCGACAAACCAGCTCGATCTCAAGGCTCAGAGAATAGCGCATTCGCAGTCTCTGATTTTTGACAGGAAGGTTGCTAGCACTCAGGATTTCGACACGGTCTACCAAATATGCTACGAGGGTTTCCAGGAGTTATGCCAGCTGGATTCACGATTCACAGCATTCGAGCGCACAATTTTCAGCGAGCAGAGCAAGGCCGAAGATCGCACACAGCTGACTGCGGCTCAGAATAAGGAACTCGACGTGGCCTTGGAGTCTTTTCTTGCTCTGGTTGGAGGTCGGTTACTGTTGAATCCTGCTGTTAAGGCCGTCGAGTGGCTTGTCAGGCGTTTCAGGTGCGAAAGCGGCAATCCCAAAAGTTCCAGTACTCGGTTTCTCGAACGTGTTGGGCTAACAAAGCACGCAGAATTCACGAATATAACACGTCATTTACGATTCTCACATTCCTACCGTACTATACCACCCCGTTATTCTTGAATCTCCTAACCATCCTTCCCGAAGACTTGACGCCGACCTTCAAAGTCCTGATTCCCTACAAAAAAGGCTCCATCAATCCACCTCGCCATCCACTCGTGCACAGCGCTACCACGAATAAGGCCTTCTTGGCGGCATTGAATAGCTATGTCCTCCAGGTGAGCCGGCAGCAGGCGCATCATCATGCGCTTCTGGCATTCTGGGCCGGCGTCTACACCGAGGCCGTTGCGGGCATGCTGGATGCATCGCGCTCCGGACGCCGAGAAGTCGAGAAACAGAAGCACGAAGATATCGTCATACGTGTTCTCCCAATTCTCAACGATGGTTTCGCCTTGAAGAACGTCTCGGAACTGGTCATTGGCTGCTACATGGTTTCCGTGGTGCTTGCACAAAAGGCGTCTCTTCAGGACAAGGTTCTTGACGGTTTGATGGAGGCCGTTGCCGGATCGTGGACGGAAGAGACAGTCGAATCGGGCCTGGTGTGCCTGGCCGTTCTGGCACAGCAAAAGCCCGAAACAAAATTACCGAGACGTGCTCTGAAGGCAATCTTGCGATTGGACGATATTATCAAGCGGTTGACCGAGATAGCGGCACAGTACAAGACCTCTCACCTTCTTCTTGGGGTTATTGCCGGCTGCCTTGACGATCTTCCGAAACAAAAGGACACAGCACGCCTCGATCTCTTGTCCCATATTTTCCAGAACCAGCTCTTGGGTGAGCCGGAAATGAGCAAGGCCATGGCCTTGGTCCTGGAAGCCACGAGCAGTGTCCACAAGGATGGTGTCATGTCTTTGGATGCTCAGGCACGCCTTGCAGATCTAGTTCAAGTGTTCAGCCAGTCCGAGTCCCTGCGGCCTATTTTCCAGAAGACGATTGCGGAGTCATCTTTCGACATTGCTACGCTGGAACACAATCTGCAGACAGTGATTGATACCGCGCCCGCGCCTCGTGCTGTGCAAGATGTCGAGATGGAGGACGCTGAGAAGGAAGAAGAGCAAGACAGCTTCTCGTCGGCCGTGGAATCTTTGAGTGGGGAGAAGTCATTCAAGGGCTCTTTCCTCAGCGCACAATCCATCCCCTTGTTCGAGAGACTTGTCCAAGCCTTTGCACTGACAGTTGGCTCGAACGAGAAATGTCGGACCTTCTCTGATCTGGCGGCGCTTGGGAAGAGCGAGGCTACAAAGACCCCTCAATATCTTTCATTCTTCATCAGAGTCTTCTCTGGTCCGTATCCCATGGGCACACGGGTCACGGCTTTAAATATGATCACCTCTTTCCTCACGTCCACCGAGAACCCGAATCTAGACTTCCAGGCGCTGTTGCCATTCTTGCTAGTTGCTCTCACAGATCTGTCGGAGCGTGTTCGCCGTGAGGCCGCTACAGCTCTTGCTGCTGTCGGTAGTCTCTACAAGAAGAATAAGAAGGGAGAGGATGTTTGGGCTCGCGACAACCTCTATGGTCAAGAAGTACGACCGGAGGACATTCAATGGCTCCCCACTCGTGACGCGCAGAAGGTTTTTGAACGTGCAGTGCTTCCTAGTTTGGAGGAATGCATCTTCGATGCAGCTCACATTGGCAAGGTGTTGGAGAACACTCTTCGGGGAGTCTCGGTCGATGCGAATGCGTCTGAGCTCAAGAAGCCTCTCCGACTGGCATTTTTCACCTTCCTGTGCTCCCATGCCATCCAGCTTCCGTTGTTCACGCCTAAACTTGGCTTGCTCAACATCCTCAACCGCATCGACAAGGCTGGTGGAACCACTCGTACGAAGGAGCTTGAGCCTTTACTGAAGACTTGGCGTGGATTGAGTGAGCGCGAAGTCCAGGATATCTGCGAGAAAGAGCGGCTTCCTGTTTCTGACGTGGAGCGTCAGATGGTAACGATTGTCACACCGAAGGAGAAGGACGCCATTATGATTCTTTTGTCAAATGTGAGCCCTCACTCGGAGTCTCTGCGGCCTTCTTTCATTGCAGCCGTCTTTGGCCGCATAAAGGACATCTGGGCTCGAGTGGCGGAGGATCGTCAGGCCGTGGCTGCGGAGCAGCTGTTTGATATCTCGCTTGGCCTTTCCAACTTGCCTCTTGTGAATAATTGCAGAGATCTTCTCCGCAGCGTTCAGCTCCCAGGCTCTGTACTCGCCCAATTTTTGGAAAGAATACCTGTCTCTCTTACTGACATGGAAGCTCTTGGGCCTGCGCCAAAGAGAAGACGCACTAGTCAGAACAACATGATTGCGATGACTGTGAAGGATGAGGCGGAGTTTGGCAAGGTCATGGAGAAGATGACTTTCATTTTGGAACTTGTTGACAGCTCATCACCCGAGACTCACCCCGAGCTCGCCGACGGTCTCTTCCAAGCTCTGGCTGCTCTCCATCACTTCAAGTCCCAGATTCAGTCTGGAATGAGCTATTTGCTCAGCTTGACTCTGGGTAGTCTGCTGGCCATTGTCAATCGATCCAAGGAGAGCGCAAAGGCGCAGTTCGACACCTCGGTCATTCGCGCTGACTTGGTCGTGGACTGCGTGCGGACCACAGAGAGCCCTCAAGTGCAGAATGCGGCTTTGCTTCTCGTAGCTGGGCTTTCCGTCATCGCCCCTGAGTTGGTTCTTCACAGCGTGATGCCCATTTTCACCTTCATGGGCTCCAGCGTTCTCAGGAAAGATGATGAGTACTCGGTTTCTGTCATTGACCAGACCATCGACCAAGTTGTGCCCGCTCTTATTCAGTCCTTGCGTGATCAGAAGCGTGACGTGGTGTCTGGAACATCCGAGCTGCTGCTAAGCTTTACAGCTGCGTTTGAGCACATCCCTTCGCACCGTCGTCTGCGCCTCTTCCATGCTCTGATTACGAAGCTAGGAACGCAGGACTTCTTGTTTGCTGTTTTGGCAATGCTCGCCAATAGATATGCTATGGACAAAGATGTTCTAGTCCTGATGACAGGCCTCGTTTCTGACGCCAGTGCTCCTGTTGAGCTTACCGTACGTGTTCATCATTCCGCATTTCTGGACTATTTACTGACCGTGAACAGACATATAGCAAATTCCTCGGATTGGTCAGCGACTCGCTCAAGCCGAAGCCAGGCATCTCGCAAGTTCTCCTTGGAATTGGTAGTGATGATGGGCGCGAGCCTCAGAAGGTTGCGGTTGACCTGCTTCGTGACTTGGCCTATCTCTTCAAGCATTCGTCTCTCAAGATCAAGATGGCCAAGACATTTGCTTCAGAGGACGAAGAGGCTATCAGACAGCTCCGGACCATTTTCTCTCAAATCCTGGAACAGGTCTTGACGATTTGTGATTCCGTGCAGAGCATGAAGCTCGTCAGCCAGGCGAACGGTGACGTTCTGGCCGCGTTGTTCGGCACGCTGACACTGGGCGACTTCCTCGACACCATCGAAGTGCTGCTTCAGCGCCCCAACGATGAGCTCCGTCGGAAAGTCCTCCGGCTCCTCGAGGGACGCCTTCGCCAGAACCCAGAACGCGACAGCCCCTCTCAGATCCGGGTGCTTGACTTCTTGCCTACTCTTGTTGACATTGTCCGCAACTCGACAGATTATCTGCTCAAGCACGCCGCGGTTGCCTGTATCGATCGCATCGCCGAGAAGTACGGCAAGAAGGACCCATCAAGAGTTATCGGTGCTGCCCAGGTCGTGGCTAGCGAGGCCTGCATTGGCCAGACGGACGACCGTATTCGTATCATGGGTGTCTTGTGTCTTGCATCCATGGCTGAGACCCTTGGCCAAGTTATGATTCCAGCACTTCCAGAGGCGCTCAGCCGCTCCCTGGCTCTGCTTGAACTGAGCTTGGAGGAGGGCAAGGAGAATTCCCGGTTACACGACGCCATCTTCTCGTTGTTCTCGGCGCTCTTTGTTCATATTCCGTATATGATCTCTGGCCCTCATCTTGATAAGATCCTTCTTCTCTCTTTCAAGTCAGCCAACGCTGAAGACTGCGAAGATGAGAGCCGACAAGAAGCGCTGAAGATGATGGCTCGAAAGGTTGACATGGCTGCGACGCTGGGAGCGGTTGATCGCAACTGGCAGTACGCCGTGCAGGCGGGGCCGGTCGCCGCGAAGGAGACGCTGGAGGTGGTCAGTCTTGCCGTGGAGAAGCATCCGAAATCCGCGACTGGCAAGAATATCGGGGTCTTGTCGAGCATACTGTTCAAAGCATTCGATCTGCGCCGGGAGCAGCTTGCACTGGGAGCGAACGCCACATTCGAGGCGGCTGACGTGGATGAAATCGAAGATGCCCTCAACGACGTCACGATCAAGATGATCTACAAGCTGAACGACAGCGCCTTCCGTCCTATCTTCACGAAGATGCTGGATTGGGCCACGTCCGGTCTACCAAAGAAAGACACCCAGGGCAGCTGGGCCCGGCTTACGACGTTCTACAAGTTCTTGCAAGTCTTCTTTGGAACTCTTCAGGTATGTTATCACCTCTCATCAAAGTTTCACCATCGCTCACAAAGATAGTCAATCGTCACTGGTTATGCCAGCTATATTATCGAAAGCGTGGTTTCCGTCCTCAGAAAGGCCAGCCCGGCCGACAAGAGTACCAAGGCTCTGTGGCTGGCCACAATGCGCCTGCTCCGCAATGCCTTTGAGCACGATCAAGACGGTATGCCTGTCCTCCCCATCAATTCCTGCCTCAAGCTAATTATCGCAGAGTTCTGGCAATCACCCTCACACCTGAACCAAATCTCCACACCCCTCATCAACCAACTCGCACACGCCACGAATTCATCCACGGCAGCCACCGTGATCGCCGAGGCCGTGCCGGCCATCACCGAGCTCGCCGTCGCCGCCGACTCAACAGACAACCACAAGGAACTCAACACGGCACTCATGAAGTTCCTCCGTCCGTCTGCAGGCCCGAACGGCAAACCCGCCGGAGGCGAGAACCCACACACGCGCCTCGCAGCCCTCAAGGCCGAGCAATCGCTCACCGAGCAGCTGGGCGAGGAGTGGCTTGCCCTTCTGCCTGAGATGCTGCCGTATATCAGCGAGCTGATGGAGGATGAGGACGAGAACGTCGAGCGCGAAGTCCGCAAGTGGGTTAAGCAGATTGAGAACGTCCTGGGCGAGAAGTTGGATGATATGTTGATGTAGTCGGGTTATTTGAGGAAAGCATCTCTGGCGTTCAAAATGGTCTTTGGTGTATATATGCGAAAAGTTGGTCTATACCATTTCGTTTTGGTCTTGCAGTCTGTATAGCTCGTTTAATAGATTACAGCCACACATTCTGTCCGATGCTGCAGGCCGTACTCCAGTCGTTTAGATGAAGACCAAAAAAAAAAAAAAATCAATGACAAGGGTGGGATTCGAACCCACGCCTCTTGCGAGACACGGAAACTGATGAATCAGTTTGTAGGTCCAGTTCCTGAACCGTGCTCCTTAGACCGCTCGGACACCTTGCCATACTTGTAGGATTTTCCGTAATCATATCTTAACTTCCTATTCTGACCCCCACGACAGCCTCGTCTGTCTCTAGCCCTAGGCCCCTAAGTTCCTTGTTCTCGGACGATTCAGCATGGTTAGATTAGGTGTTGTCATTTTACTAGAATCGATATGTCGTGATCGATGGATAGATTTAGGAGATGTCTGTTGACTACGTTCCATGTCGCATTGTATATATATCTCGTCTACAACGACGGCACCCTCAGCCCAAACACATTCCCCGGATCAAACCCCCTCTTCAGATGTCGTACAATCACAGCCTTGTCTCCATACACTCTCCGCAGCACCTCATTAGATGATGCAGCAGCAGCAGCGGCAGTATTATACAACGACACATACGCCGTCGGGAGCACATTCCCCGGATCCACATGCTCAATCCCCCGCGCCATCTGCACGGCCCACTCCATGGCTTCCGCGCTGAGCGTCTCCTCCGCCGCGTACCCTAAAATCTCGAGCATATAATGTGGCTCTCTTGCCGCGAAGACATTAGAGTGAGTCTACTACGTGGCTAACGGGCCTCGCAGCTAATGTATGGAGAGCATCGTGCCCGGGTCGGACGGCATCGTCGCGAGATACTGTCCGATAGTCTCCGCCACGGCGGGGGTGATGCTGCGGATGCTGTGCGTGCTGGGGGCGCCGTAGGCGGTGCTCGGGACGAGGGCGCCGGTGGAGGCGAGTAGGGACGGGATGGTGGTTTCGGCGACGGTGTTGGCGAGGGTCGGGGCGAGGGCGGCGATTTTGGCGGCCCAGGCGTGGCCGGCGGTTGTGTCGGGGCTGCTCCAGACGAAGATGGCGGCGAGGAGGCGGCCTGCGGAGGGACTGTTGAAGGCGATTTGTTGGATGGTGAGTTGTGGGGGGAGGGGGTCTGAGTCGAGGAGGGCGCGGTAGGCGGCGTTGAAGTCGATAAAGGTTTTGGTGATGTCGGTTGAATCGTAGAGGATGGCGCCGGCTAGGAGCTGGGTGGGGGTGTTAGCTTTGGCATGGGGTTCAAGGGAAGAGTGCTTACCGTGGTGAGCGGGTAGATCTTGATGGTGAGGTCGACAATCACACCGAATAGGCCCCCTGCGCCGCGGATGCCCTGGAGAAGAGCCTCGTCGGCTGCGATGATCTCGCCGTCCGGGTTGATGGCAGCCGCGCCGAGGATCTGGTCTGAGCCTAGGCCCCAGTGCGAGGAGAAGGGCCCGTATCCGCCGTATGTGGCCCAGCCCTACGGACGGGATTGTTCCTGTCGGGGTGGCTAGACCCTCTGCCCAGAGCCTGTTGGCGAGCTCTCCCTGCAAGATGCCGCCTTGGACGATGGCGGACTTGCGATCCGCTGCGACGGTGACGGCGTTCAGAGCGCGCAGGTCGATGAGCAGAGCGCCGTCAACAAGGGCTCGGCCTTCCAGGTTGTGGCCGCCCGAGCGGAGTGTGAAGGGAAGGGACTGGGATCTGGCGAATCTGATCAGGGAGGCCACGTCGGAAGGGGACTGCGGCTGGACGATGGCCAGCGGGTTGTCGCGGCGGGAGCCATTCCAGACCTTGCGAGCCATTGGATATTCAGCAGAGGAGGGTGGGATGTATTTGACACTGGGATGCGCCTGTAGAAAGGTCTCCAGGGCGGTTAACTGGGTGGTGTCTGTCATGATGCCGAGTCGGATGAGTTGGCATTGAAGTCATGAAATGAGGCCCAATTTATACGACCAGTCCAAACCAAGTTGTTTCAACCCTTCAGTCTGACATACATATACACAGCGTTGGTAAGCTAGATGAGCCCATAATCCAGATAGCTCAGGCAGAGGAGCATCCAACCCCACCATGTGAGATTTCTCTCTCGCCTTGTAGCTGTAGACGATAGGATAAGACCACTTCAATCGTGCCGACGATTCAGCCTCCTGGTCACCAACACCGTATTCCTCGTCTAATTGGCTTCAGCATAGCTCTCAGTGTCTCACACTTTCTCTCCGTAAGCACTAACCACAACGGTGAACGGCACTCACGTCAGCGTATACATAGATGAAATGACCATCCCAGCGCTCATGACTAGGTCCTTCATGGTGGGGACGTCAAATTCATACTTCAGGCCGGAGGAGAAAAGCTGAGCACCAGGGGATGTGATGAACACTGGCATTTAGCTCGCTCTGAGTTGAGGTATATTCAACCGTATCTCGCGCAGAAAGCAAGTTTACACGCGTAGAAGATCCTTACATGCCGGGATTCGTCATGTAAGAAGTTGCGTGTGGGACTTGCTTGGTGTTTGCAGAATAGAGACCAGTATTTGTCCTTACTCCTGCGATGTTGTTCCCAAGTAGAAATACTCCATTAGCATCAGAGGTGAACCCAAGAATCGATGTGGTCTAGAAGTAAGGTATGTATGTCATTAGTTTCCGTGTCTCGCAAGGGGCGTGGTCGAATCCCACCCTTGTCATATTCTCTTTTTTTCGTCGGATATTCTTTTTCTTGACATTGCCAACGATTAGGGAATTATAGACGATATCTAGTGGTATCGTTGACGCGGTGACAATTGCAGGAAATGTGGTAGCGTAAATGGAGCGTACACGCTCCCTACTTACTCCCAAGGACAACAGGTTTGTAAGAAGATATTATGATGATGGATTGATTATATTAATATAGAAATATCGAAGCAAACTGTCCAACAGAAACCAATCTAATAAAAAATGCAACGGGAGCGCCCAAACTTTTGAAGCAAACATCAATCTATGGTATCAAGATGTCAATGGGTATATCATACAAGCAATCAAAAACGCCATGCGATTAGTAATGTCATCATATCACTCCTCTTCCATCATCAACCAGCAGCAACTCGCCGTGGTTGCTCGCTCGCCAGCAACGGCGCCCGGATGGCGGTATACTCCGGCGGGGGCGCGATGGGGTTCGACTGCGGCAGAGGAAAAGACTCGCAGGAGGTGATGGATGGGGGCGCAACGCTGCGAGGGCTGAAGAACTCGGCGTCCACCTCTGCCAGGGTGATTTCGTGGACCCCGTACTTAGGGCGCGCATCTGCCTTGGGCTGGCAGGTGAGCTGAAGTGGAACGCGAAGGGAGGCGGTGGGAGTCAGGATGTTGGCGTTCGGAGTGTGGTACGAGATGCTCAGGTCGAGGGCGTACATTCGGGAAATGAGGCAGGAGTGGAAGGTCGGAACAAAGGCCTTGGACGCGGGAAGGGAGACGGGCACCACTACCGAGGCGGTATAGTAGGTGCTCCCCGAGAAAGCGGCAGAGGGCCCCGTCAGCGACTCCGACGAGGAGGTAGACTCCAATGAGTCCCGGCGGACCGGGCCCGAGACCGAATGTTTAGTCCACTGGGCGGAGGCGACGCAGAGGGTAGACAGCGGCAGGATCTCGGTGTAGACACTCTTCCCGGCCTGCGCCCACAGGGTCGCCGACAGGGCGGACGGGTAGTCTCCCCAAGGGACAGCGCCGTAGTATGTCGATACGCGCAGTCTACTCCAGACGCTGCCGAGCCGGGGCGGGGCTTCGTTGCCGACGGGATCGAAGCGCAGGTTGATGGTTGCCACGGTCCCGACGGAGTCCTTTGTCTCGCACTGGGGCGCAGTCAGCTGAACGGGTTTGGGCTGCGAGGCGGCCACAACCAAGCGGCCCAGCTTGCCGCGCATGAGTCCGCGCTTGACGCCCTTCTCCTTGCGGGTGCAGTAGACGTCTTCGCCCTCGAGGACGTTGAGTGGCGGTTCCTCGTCGACGGTAGGGATGATGCGCACTTTCTTTCCCGCCGAGGCGAGGGGCTTGCGCGCGCCGCTCTCACCGGCGGGCTTGCGGTGCACGACAACCCGGATCATGTACGAGATCTGGCACATCTCGGGCACCATGTCGTCCAGCAATGTCTTTCCGTTGCTGGCGAGCATGGGGTCCCCCAAGGTTGGGGGCAGCAATGTGTGGGACCGCTCCACATGGACGTTGGTCTTGGGGTGGGTGCAGACATGGGGGAGCAGACGATCGGGGACGACAAAGGTGAAGGGGAACTGGTAGGAGCGTCCACTCTCAAGAATGCGGGGAGTTGGGTATGCGGCGTCATCAATGGGCTGGCGCAGCCTGAGGAATGTCTGATAAGCCCCTGTGCGGCCGGGGTAGGCTGCCCGCTCGACCGACGTTCTTGCTGTTCCTACTCTCGTCCGTTAGCATGCACGCAACCCTGGCACCTGACGGGGGAAGTCGCACCTTCAAAAGTGATTTCGACGTCTTCAAAGCGCGTGTCATGGTCTACTTTGATGGTCACGGTTCCTTCGATGTGGTCCTTGGTGGTATACGAGCTGACAAGTCCCTCTGTCTGATTGGCAAGGTCGATCTGGATCTTGGGACGAGAGCGTCCAGTCAGCGACTCCAGGGAACTGGATCCCCGAGTGATAATTGAAGCCGCCATTGAGAGGAGCTGATCAATCGAGCGGATGAAGTATAGAGACGCAGCGCCTCAGCGCAGTTCGATCCGGTTGTATATGAAAGGAAAGTGCAGACGCAGCAGTCCAGGGATCACGCAAGTTATATTTACTCCGATCAAAAATAATAAAAAAGGAAAGCGACGGAAATTTCCGCGGAAGCTATGACTGGAGAATCCAGGGATGGGGTGACGGGAGTATTGCTGTTGAGTAATGGAAAAGAGCAGCAGTGGAGCCCTGAGGGTCTATATCAGAGTAGTATAAAAATTAGACGAGATGGAATTACAACGGGGAGCAAGGGAAACAATGCATGTTTATAAAGGCAGGAGAAACCCCCATCTGCATCTTCAAGTTGAGAACAGCATGGATTGCTAAGCATCGTTGAAAGTTCATGAGTCATTTGCATCAAGAAAGTTCAAATTCCTCCTAGCTTGGAGGTGAAGCAAGTATGGAAATGCAGCAATACGGGGAAACGATCAGCCACGGATTGCGACATCTGGACTGACCGACTCAATAGCAAGGATGGATCATGAGAACATCAGCCAGAGAAAGCCACAGAGCACGTGTGATCTCAAAACAACTTCCCGATTGACGGATGGTCGATGAGATAGTACAGTACAGGACCAAACTATACTTGATCATGGTGATGGATCATATGTAAGGTGGACGAGAACAAGTTGGGAGAAAAAAGAAGCATTACCCAACCTGCAATGGGAAGAAGCCCTGATTGGCCAGTTTGAGGAAATGACTAATGCTCAGTCTGCGCCCTTGCCATGACAATGCCCTTGCTCGTATTCCATCATACCTTAATACACTGAGAACACTGCTGGAATAGTTAAAGAGGTAGGAGATTACAAATTCATCAGAAGAGGATGACGACACCAGAAGAAAAAGAGCATCAATAGAATGGTGATCAACCTGGTTCTGTTCAGTATAGTATGATGATCACGCAATAATGATGGTCTTCCATTATTGCTTCACTATTTATTTCACATCCGCATGGTTTTCCTAAGTTTTCAATAGCATTGTAATGAGGACCTTGATACTAAGGTAGTATCAAATACAATACCGGGATTTTTCCTGCTTGATTCGCGCCTTTCATCGACATCATGACTCCTCAGTGCTGGCCTGTCTGTGGCTGCGGTGCACGCCCTTTGATGCGCCTACCGGACTAGCAAGCTTGGTACAAGGCCCGGCTAAATAAATCAAAAGTCAAATATGCGTTGACATTAATTCTTGTCTCCCATCTGATAATAACATGGAAATATTAGATAACTTGGATCAATTCCTGACTGCTTTTTCGCAATTGAACTGTTTACCTCTTACCTTTCTCATGATCAAAGACGAGGATAACCGAGCCAAATTCTAGAATTGGCTCTATGGAGCTACTCCAGTTCTATCCGCTCTTAGCCGAAGTATAGACCACCGACAGTGTCTCCGATTTAGCACCTGCATATAAAAGTCTGAGACTTGACAGTTTTCCGATCACGCCAGGTGCCGACTTCCAGCCCGGCGGAGTTGGGTCCCGTCTCCCCAGCCTTTCTGTCCGATGGATCCCCCGAATCAGGGTTTGGAAGGACGACAAACTGGAAAAATAAAATTCATTGCCCCTGTTGAGCGGCCATCAATCGATACCGACCTGCGGTCCTCACCCGAATCTTTTTCCCATACATCACCATCGGGATGATGGTCATGGTGATCGCCAGACTGATAATCCCGCAGGCGATGAACATGTTGGTCAATCCGCTCCGCTGCATCCAAGGCGAGATAGCAAAGGGGACTCCGATGCCGATTGCGTTGCGTAGAAACGTGACACCTGTGAAGGCATCACCAGTGATCTAGCACCGACCCGCTAGTCAGAATAGCCCATGAACCAGCAGGGAAAAGGGTTGGGCATCGTACATCAACATAGCTGTCAATCACCAGCGTCAAAGCTGCATCGCCAATACTGCCCAGTCCAAAACCAAATAGTGCGCCGCCGATGCTCGGCCAGATCCAGTGCATGCCCTAATGAGAATCAGTTGTCGGTCAGGCAGAAGACACAGTCGTCGGAACGCTTACCCTGGCAACTGTGGTCCCAAACATGATTGGGCCCCCGCACAAGGCCAAGGCAGGAAGATGAAGAATGTATAGACGCATCTCCGGCTCGTAGTAGCCCTTGTTACGCCGTGCAAAGAACAAGATCGATCGATCTCCGAGAAATCCCCCGTAGAACGACCCAATCAAGTTGCCAAT